TCCTACTACTCCTACTACTACTACTACTACTACTACTACTTCTACTGCTACCCATCCCCCTCCTCCTCCTCCTCCTCCTCTTCTTCTTCCTCCACCTCCTCCTCCTCCTCCTCATGCCCTCTCCCGTTCTTCTCCCCCTCTCCCCTCTCCCGCGCCCTGCGCCCCCCCTCCTTTCCCCCCCTTCCCGCTCCCCGCCCCTTCCCCCCTCCCTGCCCGTCTCTCTTCCATACCCTTCCCCTCTCCCATCCCCCTCCGACCTGGCCCCTGTCTTCGCCCTTCTCTTTGCCCCATACATCAGATTTTGTCCCAACCATCCTGTGTTGGGTCCTCGTTTTGTAGAGCCAGCGCCCCGCGTTTCCTCCTCCTCCTCCTCAGTCCTTCGTGCGTCCCCCCCCCGTGCAACGCTTCGTGGCCCCATAGGCAGCCCAACCGAAAGCCCCAGCGGCTGCGTTCGCATGCGCCCACCGCACCAATTTCGGCACACCCCTCACACGTTTCGTGCCCCCGTAGGGGGCTCCACCGAAGGCCCGAATGGCTGGGTTCGCATGCGCCCACCGCACCCATTTGGGCACACCCCTCACCGTTTCGTGTCCCCTTAGGGGGCTCCACCGAAAGCTCGAGTGGCTGCGTTCGCATGTGCCCACCGCGCCCAATGCGGCACACCCATTACACGCTTCGTGGCCCAATATGCAGCTCCACCGAAAACCCCAATGGTTGCGTTCGCATGCGCCCACCGCACCCATGTTTGGCACACCATTACACGCTTCGTGGCCACATTGTCAGCTCCACCGAAGGCGCCAGTGGCTGCGTTCGCTTGCGCCCACCGCACAAATTTTGGCACACCCCTCACAAGCTTCGCGGCTCCATGGGAAGCTGCACCGACAGCCCCAGTGGCTTCGTTCGCATGCGCCCACTGGACACTGTTGGGGGCGCCCCTCGCACGCCTCGCGCCGCCATAGGAAGCTGCACCGACGGCCCCGGTGGTTGCGTTCACATGCGCCCACCACACCTATTTTGGCACACCCCTCACATGCTTCGTGGCCCCATAGGGAGCCCCTCCGACGGCCCCAGTGGCTGCGTTCGCATGCGCCCACCGCACCCATGTTTGGCACACCCCGCACACGCTTCGTGGCCCCATTGGCAGCCCCACCGAAGGCGCCAGTGACTGCGCTCGCATGCGCCCACCGCACAAATTTTGGCACACCCCTCACAAGCTTCGCGGCCCCATAGGCAGCTCCACCGACGGCCCCAGAGGCTGCGTTCGCATGCCCCCACCGCATCTATTTCGGCACACCCCTCACACGCTTCGTGGCCCCATTGGCAGCCCCACCGAAGGCGCCAGAGGCTGCGTTCGCTTGCGCCCACCGCGCACACCCCTCACAGGCTTCGTGGCCCTAAGGGAGCTCATGCAACGACGGTGCTCACAACTGACACGGTTGGGTCCTTCGCCAGGCTAATGTTGTGCTTCAACACGGCCCCCTGGTGAACGTTTTCTTATTCGGCGTTTCGGCATTGGGCGGAAGGGGTGGGGAGGAGGGGGCTGGTTCTGGACCTCTGCTAAACTCAAGTGTTTGCAACCATGCGTCCTATGGGGGAGAAGACTCCACCTGCTTGAAACAGGCGCCGAAAACAGCCAAGATCTACTCCATGGTAGGGGGGCAGGAGGAGGAGGACGAGGAGGAGGAGGAGGAGGAGGAGGAGGCAAAACATTGAATCGGGAAACGATCACCTGGAAGGGTCGATCCTTCTCATCCCGAGCCGCTTGTTGCTGCTGACGCCACCCAGGGCCCAGCTGCGGGCCCCTCAGAGGCCGAACAAAACGGCGAGAAGCAGCGGTGTTGCCAGTGTTGTTTCAAGACGCTGGATGCCTGGATGCGCCCTCCCCCTGGTCCCGCGCCCTCGCGCTTTCTCGATGGGCCCGCCTGGCGAGCGCCCTCTGGATCAGCGCGTCGAGGCGGTCCAGGCGTTCCTGGCTCTGCGCTGTTGTTTCTCCTCCCTCCTCCCTCCTCCTCCTTCTTGACATTCCTCTCATCCCTCTGCCGATCGTCCTCCTCCAGCTCCGTGTCCTTGTCATCACTCTCCTCCTCGCCCATCTCTTCCTCCTCCTCCTCCTCCTCATCATCATCATCCTCATCGTCCTCCTTCTCCTCCGCCCTCTCCCTCCCTCGTGCTCCCTCCTTCCTATTGACAGTGGGACCACCCTGGCCGTCGCGTTGTGCTGCTGTGAGCTGCGTGGACAGCAGCAGCAACGCTGCCCGAGAGGTGACGGACATGGGCAGGTCTTGCACTTGACGATCTGGACTGGCCTCGCATTGCCCGCCGTGCTCGTGCCGAACTGACACCGCCGCATGAAGGCATCGGACCGTGGGATGCGCTCGCAGAGCGTAGCCCATCGGCATGGAAACGTATACCGAGACAAGCGATGCACGCATGGACGTAGGCCGAGCTGCGCGCAAAGGCACCAGAGCAAATTTCTGCGGGTTTCTTCGACATGGTCAGACTGGCCGAGGGCCCAGAACGGGTTTACACGAATCCCAACGGTATGCTCGTAGACGCACCGACGGGCCTCACGACGACAGTCACCACAACATGTCCCTAGGGAGTTCGATAGCCATGCCGCGTATCGTGTCCATGCTGCGCGAACGTATCGGAGGCAGGCTGACCTGGCGCGTGCGTGTGCGCATCCGATGAAGATGTCAGACCTGTTTGCCCGTGTTCCACGATCTGTCGCATATAATTGTTCACCTGGCGTTGGACTCGCCGAGATGCTTGTACGTGCTGCATACTACGCGGCAAAACCCAGCATACCATTTAGATCTGGCTGACATAGAAGCCGTGGGAGGGCTCACAAATCGGAGGGGCGCGGATTTCGAGGCGCCATGTGGTACTCCCCACGATGAAGGCAGCGGGTCCGCCAGAGCCAGATGTCGAGCGTGCGATGGCGAAGTTGGCACAGCAGGAAGCCAGGGAACGGATTGCGGTGACAGATACTAACGCCGACTATATCCCATCGCCGCCGCCGCCGCCTGCCACACCACCCGATGCAGCCCACCCCCCCGATCGGAGCACAAAGAGGTACCCTGCGCGTCCCTTCCTCTCGGAACGATACACTGGGATTGCAACCGACCCCGTCCCGAGTGCAGCCCACCAGGTAGAATACGATGTACTGAATCTCTACTGTGGACGAAGAAGGGTTGAGGACAGGCTCAAGTGGATTGAGCACACAACAGTACCGACTACGCAGTTCTCGCACTATCCATAGGCATAGCCATACATGCGACGCGTGGGCACCTGATGAACACCGCCACCCTCGCCACATGGAAAGAGAGACAGATGGAACAGGTATGTGTAGGCCATGCCTTGCTAGGCATTATGATCACAGTGTTGGTGGATGGGGCATCCGCAACCATGTGATAGGCGGCTGCAGGCAGTGACATCCTTCACCTGGCATCCCTTCGGAGCGTTGACTTCCTCCCCGGCCGTAACAGCAACAGATTTCGACCAATGGCCAGTGTGAGCATGCACAGTCAATCCCGCGCACCAACTAGGACCGTGGCGTTACGTGTATCGGGCATACATGGTCGAATCCTGGACACAAGGGGGGTGGGAGGTGTTCGCATGGTAGGAGAGGATTCGACACATTGCTGGGCTGCGACGGGTCTCGCAGGGAATGGGGGACGGCAACGACAAAGAACAATACACGTACCCGACCGACTTTGTTAGTGCTTGGCGAACAGCATGGTCGATACCATCCAGACGACGTGGGAAGAACGTGAGGATGATGTGCTGCCCGAAGATATGGGGGAGGACCAAAGGCGCCGTGACGCGCTGTTAAAATGTTATGCTTCCTGGGACCCGTGCCAGGGCCAATGTGAGAAGTGGGCCCCAGACTTTGTGGTGTCCCGTGGGTCGAAGACCTGTCGGGCTGATCCAGAATTCCTAGGGCTCCCAACTTCGCGCTTCGCGCTGCGCGAAGCGCGAAGCGCGAATAACTTCGCGCTCTCGCGCCGCCCTCCCAGAAGGAGAATAGGAGGACGAGGAGGAGGGGGAGAAGGAACGAGGACCGCGAAGCGCGAAGCGCGAATAACTTCGCGCCCTCGAGGGAACCCTTGGAATTCGGTCGTTCCCCCCCCCCCGAACCAAGAGGGGCGCGAGCAGGATCGCAGTGGAGACGCTCTGGACCCCGCTGCTGCGCCTCGGCCTCCGAGCTCATGAGGAGCAAGAATCCCTAGGGCTCCCAACTTCGCGCTTCGCGCTGCGCGAAGCGCGAAGCGCGAATAACTTCGCGCCCTCGCGCCGCCCCCCCAAAGGGAGAAGAGGAGGACGAGGAGGAGGGGGAGGAGGAACGAGGACCGCGAAGCGCGAACCGCGAATAACTTCGCGCCCTCGTGGGAGCCCTTGATTCTGGAAACGCTGAACCCCAAAAACGCTGTCATCTCTTGTGGGCGCATCGGTTACTTCCGCCACCCTCCGCCGAGCTTCCGCCTGCTTCCGCTGGCGGAGGCGGCCTCGTTTCACTTCCGCCGACCCTCCGCTGCGGAAGAGACGGCGACTCCTGCGGTCCTTGAAGGCCAGGCCTTGTCTGGAGCCCCCCCCCCCACATCGATGCCCAGTCTTTCTTGGGCGGACCCTCGTCGGACACCCTCATGCGTGCTACAGCCACCTCCCGAGCCCTGTGCCGCTGCCCGAGATGAACGTTAGGGGCTCGCACCGCAGACAAGCATCCAGGGCAGGCGCGAGAGGGCGGGGGGCGGCCAGGAAGGGCCCAGGAGAGGGAGGAGGAGGACCAGGACAAGGATTAGGGAGGACCAGGACAAGGATTAGGGAGGAGCAGGACGAGGATCAGGGAGGAGGAGGAGAAGGAGAAGGAGGAGCAGGGAGGAGGAGGAGGAGGAGCAGGGAGGAGGAGGAGGACAGACGCCGTGAGGGCACATCTTGCCGTCGCGCCGTGGGCTGCAGACACATGGGGCTCTTCGACATAATCCCGAGAGCCGACGTCAGAGACGTTGCTGATGATCACCCTGCAGGCGCAGCTGCTTGTGATACGTCGGTGCGTCGCGCAGGGGACGGCCCTGTAGTTGTCTCTCGTCTCCCACTCTGCGCCGTGCTGCCCCCGCTCCCCTCTTCCTGCTCTCTACGCCGTGCCGCCGCCTGCGGATCGACGCGCACAGGCTCAAAGCACCCGCTGGCAACCCGCCCGCGAGAAAAGAGCGCCGCGGGCGTGCGGTCAACTGAAGATCACGAGGCGCGGCCACTCGAGGACGACCCGTGCCAGTCGCCGCGCGACCACGAGAGGCGAGCGTGAGAGGCGAGTGCGAGTGGAGAGGCCACGGGGCCCACGCGACCCCCGCCGGGGGCAACGGTGAGCCCGAGGCGCGCCACGCGTGCGAGGCCCCCCCCCCTCTTTGGGACGATGCTCGGGAGAGGTGGAGAGGACCAACCCCGCCTGGGCGGAAGCCCTCTCCATTGTCTGTTTTTCCCGACGCCGCCCCCGCCGCGCGCCTGGCCCCGCTCTGAGCGGGCCCGGCTCCCCCCTCCCCCCCGCCGCCGCCGGGCGCCTCCTCCCCCCCCCCCTCCTGCATGGTGGCTAAATTCGTGCGTCGCGCACGCACCAACGCCTTATCGCCAGCGCAGTGACTCTACCTTGCCGCCGACGAACAACTGTGTTATCCCTGACGCCTCCAGCTCTCGCCAGAGGCGCCGAGACCCCGGCCTCGACCGGGGGACTGAGTTTCCTCCCAGAGCCTCCGAAACCTGCGGCCCCACCCCCACAGCTTCTCGTCCCTCCGCCCGCGTGCCTCCGCCTGGACGCTGCATGAGAGGTGGAGGGCGCCGCTGGGCGTGCAGGTGCCCGATGGCGTGTCATGGCTCAACTACAGATGGCAGCACGCAGGCTCAGACTGGACGGTCGCTATGCGGTCAAGGGAGTCAAGGTCTGCCGTGTTGGCTTTGACGAGTGATAGAATTGCAGTTGCATTCTCTTCCCCGCCTCAGCGCGAAGATAGGTGCTCGTCTGCTCCGCCGTCTCGTCTGCGTGCTGTCTTGGGGCCGAAGATATATTCTCCCCCTCAGGTATGCGACGCATGGTCGATGGCTTGACACCCGTCATGTGTGCTTGCAGGGGCCCCGCACACAGAAACAGCCCAGGACAGCTCCCTTGTGGTGCCGACGTCTTGCTCCCGAGCTGTCCGTACTATTGGCTGTACTTTACTGGTGCGCTTCAAAGTCTTCTGCTTGCGAAGATGGCAACAATGATTGCCTTCGTCATTGGCGCCCGTGCCGAATCACTGCGTGGGGAGCAGCCGCCCGTCTGTATGTGGCGAGTCGTGCCCCGTTTTTAACCGAACGAGCCAGCGGTTTGAATCAGATGCGCAGTCCAAAAATCCCTCCTGCACACCCTCCCGTCCACATCCTCCTCCCTCCTCCTCCTCTACCTCTTCCTCCTCCTCCTCCTCATCCTCCTCCTTCGTCTTCCAGGGCTTCATGATCGCAACAGCTTGACCTCCTGCCCCTTTCCCAGACCTCACGCCCACCAGCTCGGGAGGAGCAGGAAGAGAAGGAGAAAAAGCGAGGAGGGAGCAGCAGAAAAGAGAGGACCAAAAAAAGGAGGAGGAGGGAGGAACAAGAGGGAGAGGAAGAGGAGGAGGACGGAGGAACAGGAGGAGGAGGAGGAGGATGAGGAGCAGGACAAGGATCAGGGAGGAGCAGGAAGAGGAGGAGGAAGAGGAGGGAGGAGGAGGAGGAGGAGGAGGAGGAGGAGGAGGAGGAGGAGGAGGAGGAGAATAACGGGGAGGAGCCAGAGGCGGAGTTGGAACAGACAGGGGAGGAGTGGGAGCAGGAAGCAAGAGGAGGAGGAGGAAGAGGAGGAGGGAGAGGAGGAGAAGGAGGACGGGGGGGGGAGGAGGAAGAAGAGGAGGAGGACCAGTAAGCCCAAGACGCATCGATGACGTTGCAATGAATCCTGCCTCCAAGTTCCCTCTTCATGGGCCCCAGCAAGACTTTATCTTCAGTGCGGGAAGTCGCCCATAGGAAGACAACCGTCTGAGAATCCTGAATGGTGCCGCAACGCACTTCCTGGGACTTTCGGCGCCGCGAACCCACCTGAGTGTTGCGTCCGGACAACCCTAAACCGTGTCAGAAAAACACTCCTGGGACTTAAACCATACGACCCGTGAAACGGCTCGAAGCTGTTAAGACGAATATGCGGGGCGCTAACGCGAGAGTCACATTTCGAAGAGGAGCCACCCTCCACCCTTGATGCTGCTACAAACTGTTAAGACGAACGTGTGCGGCGCTGATGCGAGAACCACACTTTGAAACGAGCCACCTTCCATCCTTGAAGCTGTTGCAGGTTCTTTCTTACCCACAACACGGATATGCGCAGGGCTAACGCGAGCGCAACATTTCGAAAAGGATCCACCCTCCATTGTACAAGCTGCTACAAACCTTGAGGACGAATGCACGCGGCGCTAAAACGAGAGCCACAGCTTGAAAAGGAAACACAATACAACCTTACACTTGCAAGCGCTGAAGACGAATGTGCGCGGCGTTAAGGCCACAGCCACATTTAGAAAACGGGCCGCCCTTCATCCTTGAAGCTTCTGCAGACTTCAAGCTTCAATCTCACAAATGGTGAGGACATTTCAAGCGAAACGCCCGGCCCGCCCCTACCGACACGTCTGGAGGTGAGACAAGAAAGAGTTACTCATAAAAGGAAGAAGGGACTGAGGAGGGGAGAGAAGTGGGACCGCCGCGGTCCTCGTTGTTCTCCAACCGTAAATCCGATTTGTCCTCCGGCCAGGGCTCCAACGACGAAGAAGTGCCGCCGTACCTAGGAGACCCTGTTCCCAGGGGGCGCCGCGTGGGATGAGAGGGAAGGGGGAAACAGCGGGGAAGGAGAGGGGGGACGGCTAGAGGGGGGAGGAGGGACGGAGGACGGGGGAGGGAGATGGGGCAGGGAGGGTCGGGGGGGGGAGGGAGGGGCGGGGACTGGGGAGACGCAGCCAAGCGGGGACAAAAAATCGAGGAGGGGGGAAGAAGACATTGGCCTCGGCCGTGGCAGGCGCCCCTTACTTGCCCGTTGGCCCCTGCCCCCCCCCCCTCGCAGTCCCTCGCCCCTGCCCCCCCCCCCCCTTATCACCTCCGCGCATGCCGCCGACGTCATCCGTCCTGCACTTGCGCCGTATGGGTGCCAGCTTGTGGTTCGGCAACACTCCAGGCGCGGGACGAAACATTGTTCCATCAGCGGCGAGGCAGAGAAGCTGCTATCCGGGGCTATCCGAGGCAGAGAAGCAGCGGCGAATTGTCCGGCGTGCATGAGGGGGAACAGGACTACGGCGGCACGCGGGAGTAAATACGTAATTGCCCAGCCTGGGCAGACCGCGGCGGGGCGTTGGCCGAACAACCACACATCACCGCGCCGGCGCCCAGCCGCCGGCGGGAGGGCGACGAGCGCGACGCGAGCAGCGCCGCGTCCGCGGGGGAGCGGCCAGCAGCGCTTCCGCCACAGCGGGGCGGCGGGGCCAACATCTCTACAGGCGGGAGAGAGAGAGAGAGAGAGAAAACAACAAAAAAAAGGGAGAGGGAGAGAGGGAGAGGGAGAGCGAGCGGGAGGAAGGAACGGCAGAGGTATAAGAGAGCTCCCGCCGCCGCTGTCGCCGCCCTCCCGCCGCTGCCGCGCCGACCGCGGAAGCGCCCCCGAAACGGTTGTTACACTTTCTGCCCAAAGGCCCCCATGTACTCACGACGCGGGCCCTGCAACTCGCTACTCACGGCGCCACCCCCGCCCCCCATCCTCCTCCTCCTCCTCCTCCTTTTCCTCCTCTTCCTCCTCCTCCTCCTCCTACGCGCCCGACTCAGGTGGGGGGGCGCCACGGGCGCCCCCCCCACCTCAAGAGACGTCCCAAGAGACCTCCTCCTCCTCCTCCTCCTCCTCTTCCTCCCGCTCCTCCTCCTTCCGCGCCGAAAAAGAAGGACCTGCATAGGGTGAGGCGGGCGGGGTCGCTCGCGCTCAGGAGTTCGAGATGGCTGGCCCAACGGTGCTGCAACGGCACAAGATAATCATCCCAGTCGAGAGTGCCAATCCTTTTTTTTCGCCTCGTTAATCTTAATGCAGGTGCGGTGCATGAAGAAATCCCAGGGCTCATCGCTTGTCTTCCTGAAACCGAAAGCTCCGCGGTGGAGCGCGTCCTGGAGGCCTCTGATTTTTGCGAACCGATCTTTTCTCAGGCCCCACCCTGTCGCGCCCCAGAAGAGAGAGTTGCGCGCGATGCTGTCGCACAAGAGGGGCCGCTTCTCGAGCGGAACGCGGCGCTCGCAAAGGAAGGCGAGCCACTTGCACCGTGTCTTCCAGGCCTGCGACTACTCCAGAGCGGTTTCATAGCTGCCGTCGTGAGAAATCGCAGCCCCCAAAACATTGATGCCCTCGGTCCTGGGGGCTCTCGTGATGTCATGGCCCTGGACCTTGGCGGTCTCGTTCCAACAGGCGCCCTCTGGGAAGGGCGAGCTCGATCACTGACAAGCGCTGAGGTCCACCTCGTATCCACTGTTCCTCAGGGACTGCAGCCAACTTCCGGCCGCGATGTCCATCTCGCGTCGGGCGCGCCCCAGGATCCAGAAGTTGTCGGCGAAGCAGAAAATTGGAACGAAGAGGTCATGGAACGGTCGGTGGACACTTGCCAACAGAAGCCCCAATCCTATTCCTCGCGCCTCCTGATGAACGCGCCAATCAGGATGTCGAGTCTAAGGTTGAAGAGACGCGGCGCAACAGGGCCCCCCGGCACTAGCGAACGACCCCTGCAGACAGGGGCCGGACTCGCGAGGGCATCCAAAGAAACAGTCGCCGACATCTCACCGACTTCGCGCAGCCGGCCCGCCGAGAGAACGTTCGGGACCCCGCGTTTCGCCCCCGTTGGAACACCTCCCCCCCGATCCGTGTAGTCGCGCGCCGTTTGCTGGGTTCTCTGGGTCCCACTCAATACATTTTCCGAACAGCTGCTTCAAGATATAGATCACCTCCTCGGCCTGGAAGTCCACCTGAAAAGCGAATTGGCATTTCGAGTGTTGTTTTTGTTCAGGGCTGAGATGAAGGAGGAACGTGTGACTGTGCCAGTCATATATGGCGGGCAGGAGGGCGACGGGGCGCAAGTCCGCGATGCCCCCAGTCTTGGCGATACCGGCCTTCGTGGGAATGTTCAAAGAATGTTGAATGCATGTCCCCCCCGTGCGTCGCCCGTCTGTTAGCCGCTCGAATTCGGCGGGCGGTGTCTGAACAGCTCCGCCACGTGTTCCAGGGCCTGTTCTGGAAGTTGAGTGAGCATCTCCACTGCCGCCCCATCCTGTTTGGAACCCTGGGCCCCCATCTCCATTCGGAGTAGAGCATCCTGAACCCGCCCGCGATCCAGAATTCCGAAAGCCTCCAAAGCAGACGGACTCCAGCGCATCCACGGCGGGCCCTCGGTCGACTCACGGGTCGGGGCCCGGGGCGGCGAGGAAGTCCGTCAGCATATTCGATTTCTGTCTGGTCGTCGTCGCCGATGGTGCCGCGTCGCCCTGGGCCCAGCATTGTTCGGGGCGGCGGGGTCTTGCCATGGGTCGCCCAGGGCGTCGTTCCGTCTTGAGTGCCTCGTTCTGTTTAGCCGTGGGCCGCTTCCTGGAGATCTGCCTTCGGGCTGCATGTAAATCCCCAGCTAGGGCCTCGCGCGCGCGGCTGCCTGCCCCCGCGCGCAACTGACGCTGCGAATCCCAAGCGCGCGGCCAGAGGGTCGCTCGGAGGGGCCGCGCCCGATGAGCGCCTTGGACAGCCTCGACCACGCCGAGAAGCAGCGCTGGCGATCACGCTCGTGAACTGCCCCAGGGAAAGGGCGCTGCGCCCACGCGCGGCGCGGGCGGGGGCATGGTCGTCTCGGAGAGGCCCCCGACGATGAGAGGGGGACAGCAGCTTTCAAGCCTCTCCTGCCGGCTTTGCATCTGTTCGTGAATCGGAAGACTGAACTGCCGAGCTCCCCCCCAGCAGTCGGATGAAATCTTCGTGGAACCAGTCCACCTGGGCAAGCCTGATCCATTTCGGTACCCCAGAGACAATGCGCGCATCGTGCTTGGCCAGATTATCCGCGAAGCCGCTCCCGACGGTTTCAGCTTGGCGAGATCTGCCCCAGACGAAGTTGACCCGATCTGATTTACGAACTTGGTGTGCTAGATGTCTAGCTGGGCATGCCAGGAGCACGTTCTCTCCCGGTCACATATCACCTTCGGCCGTCAGGATCGCGCATTTCGCATCGACGCGCACGCGCAAAACGCTTCCGAGGGGGATCGCGAACTTGCCCGAGCGCCATCGTTTTCGAGCCTCGGGGGGAACAGGGAGGGCAAGCTGATGCTGGCCCTGCTTCAGATGCCAAAAAACAGAGCCCGACCAGGGCCGCGAGCTTGGCCGCGCCGCTCGCCTTTCGCACTGCGCCCAAGAAAGACTCGCGCTGCGGGTCGTCCGCGACGAGCCCACTTGCCGACGTCAAAGCCTGAGACCTGATCGCTGGAGCGTCGCATCCCTGGGGGAAAAACAGCAAAATCCCGTCCAGCTTGTGGTTCCACCCACTCTGGTATACGTCGCTCCCCGGCAAAACTCCCGTCGGTCCAGATGCGCCAAGCCCGGGGGTCCTGAGCTGGGCCCATATCATGCCCAAGAAATAACGGGGGCCCCAGTTCGTCGCAGACCTTAAAGGGCAATCGGAGTCTTGAATCCTCCAAACGAGCGACGAGCGCGCGGAACGGAACTACCTGGGCGGCACTTGCAATTTGAAACCCGCAGCGAAATGCAGATGGGCCCGCGGTCCGAGTCGGCGGCCGCGGACGCTGGCAGCGACGCTTCAAACTTGACTTGCCGTTCGAGGAGATCTCGCGAGACCCCAATGTAATCTATCCGTTGAGGAGGAAAACCAGGCTTGAAATCACAATGCCATGTCCAGCAACCGGAGGGGGAAAAGTCCACGGCATTGAGAAGCGAGAGGTCGCGTGTCTCAATGAAGTCCAGGAAGTGGAGGGGGGCACGAGATCGCGACTGGAGGTGGCGCGGGGTCCAACCCATGGAACAGACTGCCTATTTCCAACGGTGGCTTGGGCATCCACCCCAAATCACTAAGCAGTCACACTTGTTTTCGTTAATTATAACATGACTACAATAGATACTCTGCTTGTACTCGTGGTAGATGCGCACCGATTGGGAATGCGCTCTGCTCGCCCCTCCTGAGCCCCACGGATATGGCTTCATCTCGTTGACTGAAGGTAGCATCGGCATCTCCTTCGAAAGTTCGATGAACGATGCCAGCAGTTCTTCTGCGCCCCTTCATATGGGGCTCGAGACAAAAGAGATGTGGCCGTCGTTCACGGCACCGATCTGGAAGTGTTCTGAGCTTACAGCCTTCTGGAGTAGCACATCCCTGTGCTCCTCGGCCTCCAGGTCCGCGCAAAAATATTCAAGTGCATTCTCGGTGCTACGCAAATTTCACGATATCAATCGTAATGTTGAACATCTCCCTCTGGGCGCTGTTGGCCCAACTACTCAGCGTGCGCCGGGGTTGATGTCCTGCAGGTGCTCAGCGAAGCGGAGGTTGAGGCCAAATGCCCCCGCTTGCGTCGACACCTAGAAGAGACCTGAGCTGCGGTTCGCCTCGTACAGATGGGTGATCTGGCCATCACGAGCACAATCTCTCACGATCCCAGCGTCCCAGTCGTTCGGCACAGTGTTCGTCAGGTCCTCACGGGAGGGGTGGGGGCCAAAGGCGGCGACCTCCTGCAAGTGCTTCGAGGTGATACGCCGACGTCCTCTTGCTCATCTGCCGCTCCTTTTCTTCCGTGCTGTCGATCTGGTGAAAAATGGGGCGGCCGTTGTACTGGAACTTGTGGCCCTTGAAGGCCTTCTGGAACGTCCAAATGTTTTGAGAAGAGCGGAAATTGATCTTTCCGATGGAGGCGAACGGGCCTGAAGTGTACACGTCCTCGACGATATCTGGGCCTGGCCACGCTGGGAAAGACGGCGACAGGGCGACTACCTTGCGTAACTCCGTCAAGATGGTAGTTTTCTCTACGTCCGTGGGGAAGCCGCCTACGACGATGACCTGCCGCCGAATCTTCGGGACCCAGCCCGCACTCCGAGTGTAGGGATTGCTGGGATGGCTGCCGCCACTGCTGCCTGCGCCAGAGGTCCTGGTGCTTCCGACATTTTTCGCCGCCGAGCTGTTAGAACCACCTCCACGCTCGAGCAAGGCAATTCTGGCCATGAGGTCCTGCACGTTCTTATCAGAACGGTCGAGCCTCGAGGTCATGGCGTCCATACGAGTGCCCATCATATCAACTTTTAAATCGATATTCGTCTGCTTCGTGGTGACATTCTCCACCTCACTACCGAGCCCTCGGAAGTCTGGATTCAACGCGGCCTTGATCGTCGCCACCATCGCCGCGGCCTCGGGTCCGAGAGGCTCGGGAGGTGCCTGAAGGGGAGGTGTCGCGGGTGCCATGTCCACGTCGACTGCCGTAAGGGGACGCTGTCTGGGGGGGGGGTCCTCCGCCGCCTGTAGAGCCCGCCGCCGCGTCGCCAAGATCGAAAAGGTCGCCCATCAGAAATGGAGGGAAACTGATTGGACAATGGTGCGATTGGGGGCTGCTCTGGTGAAAGAGCAACCAAACTGAGATGCAGAGAGATTGGACGCGCATAGGGCGCACAGAACAGCAACAGTTCTTGAGCCAAAACGGATGATGATGGTGATGATGATGATGATGATGATGATGATGATGATGATGATGATGATGATGATGATGATGATGATAAGGATGATGATGATGATGATGAGGAGGAGGAGGAGGAGGAGGATGATGATGATGATGCTGATGATGATGATGATGATGATGATGATGATGATGATGATGATGATGATGATGATGATGATGATGATGATGATGATGATGATTATGATGGTGATGGTGATGGTGATGAGGATGAGGAGGAGGAGGACGACGACGACGAGGAGAAGCAGGAGGAGGGAGTAGGGGGAGGGAGGAGGGGGGGAAGAAGATAGGAGAGGAAATGACACGGGGCGCTGTCTCATCAAAACGAAGACCCAACACCACGGCATGGCTGGGGAAAAAACACAAGGTGCACGTGGCACCAGAGGGGGGGAATCAACACGAATTGTTATGTAGGCGGCGGCGAGAGTAGTCGGAACTGGCTTGCCGAGTACCGGCTGATGCTCTCCGTCAACTGCCGATGCAATTTGGCGTCCTCGAGAACCTGGATGCACCCAGCCAGTCCCAGGTCGCCCTCGTCGAACTCTACCCTCTCGTCGAGCTTCAAGCCCGCCACGTATTTGTGCCACTTCGTTTTTTTCTGCTCGCTCCTCGAAGTCAAGAGGAGCCCCTGGACATTTCCCTCCATCCGATGCCGTTGCTACTGCTCCTCCGCCTGCTCCTCCGCAAGACCTCCGCTCGTCCTGCCTCTGTTGCTTCTGCCCCTGCTCTCACTTGAAGGGCTATCAGGGGGGGCGCTTCTGGTTTTGAAGTTTGAGGTTCCTCGGGCTTTGCGATTTGTGGTGGGCATTTCCGTCGGTCCTCGACGGGCTTCCAGCCCCAGGGTGCTCTCCAGCAGCTGCGCCTCGGCGAGGCGGGCTTTCGGGCCCCTACCGGCGATGGATGGGCGATTGGGTGTCGATGCGTCCCCCCCTGAGCCTATCCCCCCCGCTAGATCGTTGCCCCTGATTGCTGCTCCTGCGCCCATGGTGAAAGCTCGGGAGGTGGACGCCCGGGGCCGGGGAAGCGGACAGCGGAAGCGGCGCGCCGAAGCGAGCCAAGCAGCGGAACGACGCGCTAAGCCAGCGTTCCTGGCCGTGTCCCTCCAAGGGCCTCAGTGCCCTCCTAGCCTGCTGCTGGCGCTGCGGTCCTGCTCTGGTCTTTTCACTTGTTCCTGCTTCTGGTTGCGTGCCTTCTCCCCCGCCCGCTCGTGCCCAGACTCCTGGTCATGCTTCAGGCCGTGCTCTCCCGTGCCTAGTTGTCCTTGAAAGCGATGGGGGCGTTTTTTGTTTGAATTCTTAATTTTGTTTTCCGTGTTCAGCTTTTCGTGCTGCGGTCGGCGAACACATAAAAAAGAACGGCAACCCAAAACAGAAAACACTTGACAGAAGCGGGGACAAAAAAAAGGTAGCTAAACACAGTTAGGAAAAACGGCGGCAAAACGAAGCGAACACGGCGAGACGGCAAGCCCCCAAAAACGGAGAAGCAACGGCTCCCAAAGCAGACACAACCACTCCGACCTTGAAAACGGAAACAAAAAACGCCACCAGCGTTTGTAATAACTCTGTCCGACGTGGGCGTGTGCCCATCCCCCGCACCCTCCTCCTGCGGCGTGTGAGCGGCCCTGGAAATCGTAGACCCCCCCCCCCTCCGTCGCGCGGCGCCGGCCTCGCCACCGCGCGCGCGCTTGCCTCTCCTCCCGCGGCTCGGCACGGTCGAAAGGGGTACGGAAAGAACGGGTACGACGCCCAACAGCAGTCCAGTGTCTTCGTTTGCGAGGGGCACGCGGCAGTCCTTCTTTGTATACTCCGTACGACACGGAAAAATCCCGTGTGCTGTGGCCTGCGCTCTTCCCGTGTGTATTGTCCTCACGTGCCCCTCGTGCCTGCGCTTATCCTGGTCCTGCCGCTGCCCAGGGCTGCTGCCGCTCCCTCCACGAAGGCTCTTTCCCCCTTGTCCCTGTCCCTCCCCTTCCTCCTCCTCCTGGACTCCTCCTCCTGCTCCTCCTGCTCCTCCTCCTCCTCCTCCTCTCCCTCTTCTCCTCTACTTGCTCCCCCTCCTCATCCTCAGCCTCGCGTTCCCCCCTCCCCCCCACCCCGCGTTACGGAAAGGACGAGAACCTGCGAGCCAGACGGGGGATCACGCCAGCTGAATTCGGGCCTCGGCTCCCACAGCTCCATGCCGCCCTCCGCCGGGAGAGAGAGGGGACAGCGGCACGGCAGGCGGGCGATGAAGATGATGAGAAGAACGGGGGGGTGAGATTATGGGTATGGGGGAGAAACGGGTGAACGAGGAGAGGCGAGGCGAAGCGAGGCGCAGCCAATCATCCGCCCCGCAGGATGGCTTCGTAGTGCGCAGAACGCACGAAAAGGTCAGACATGTGAGAAACCGTGAAGTAGTGGAGGGAGGACAACAACACAAAGGCAGGAGGGACGCACGACGAGCGACGATGAGAGGCAGAGGCAAAGGAAAGGGAGGGAGGAACGACGAGGGGAGAGACCAAGGACGCTTGAGCAAGAAGATGAGGAAAGAGGTGAAGGATGGGAACAACATGAGCGAGCGAGCCGGAGGGGATGAGGATATGTGGGCCCCTCAGGCTCCTCATGGCGTCCACGATGAGCGACGCGCGGTTGAGGCGGGCGAATCCCAGCATGTCCTTGTAGATGTACTCGTAGGAGCGGTTCAGCTGGGCGATCAGCAAATTTAGAAGCAGGATCACGGAAAGTGTCAGGAAGATGAAGACGGAGATGAGCAGCGCTGGGCTGTCGTCGATCTGCCTCTAGAGGTGGCCATCGAGAGAGGGAGGGGGAGATGGGTTTTCATATGTGTATAGTGTATGCATACATAAACACAAAGAGGGCGAGAGAGAGGGAGCGTAAGAGGAGTAAATATAAGAGGGACAGGGAGAGAGAGAGAGAGAGAGAGGAAAAGAGTGAGAGAGAGAGAGAGAAAGAGAGAGCGTGACAACAAAACAGAGAGAACGAGAGAGAGAGAGAAAGAGAACGAGAACAACAGACAAACACGACACCGCCAACGCCACGTGCTGTCCGTCTCGGCCACGCCAGCGTCGCGAACTGGTGCGTGGACCCTCCCCATGCCCCACCCCCCAACGGGGGGGAGAGAGAGAGAGAGAGAGAGAGAGACAGCGAATTACTGAGAGAGGCAAATCGGGGGAAGACAACGAGGAAGAGATAGAGAGAGAGCGATATATAGAGAGAGAGAGAGAACCAAAAAAAGGGGAGAGAGAGATAGGGAGGGAGAGAGGGAGAGAGAGAGAGAGAGGAGGGACAGAGAAAAAAAACGCGAACGCGAGAGACAGAGAGAGAAAGAGAAATATATATATATATAGAGAGAGAGAGAGAACAAACAAAAAACGAACAAGAAAATGGGAGAGGAATGAGGAAAAATAGAGAGAGAGAGACAGAGAAAAATACCCCCGCAAGTCCTGGCCAAGTCCCGGCCAGGTCCCGGCCAAGTCCCGGGCAGGTCCCGGGCAGGTCCCGGCCAGGCCCCAGCAGGCTCACAAGAGCGCTCCAGGAGCGCTTCAAGTGGCCTCCAAAAAAGCTCGATATGGTCCGAGACGGTCCAAGAGCGATCCAAGACGCCAAAGATAGCTTCTAGACAGCCTAAAGCGCCTTCAAGACTCCCCAAGAGGCCTCCAAGAGACCTCCCAAGAGGGCCCACAGAGGCAGAAATTAGTGATTTTCCTATAGTTTCTGACGGTTTTGGGCGTTCTAGCCTTTTCGGCTTACCGGCGCTCCAGGACGGCCCAAGGCTTCCGAGACCGCGACGGCCCACGAAGCCTCCAAGAGGGCCCCAAGACGGCCCAAGATGGCCCCAAGACAGCCCAAGAGGCGGCCAAGACAGCCTAAGAGAGCCCCAACACGGCCCCAAGAGGGGCACAAAAAGGGAACCAGGAACCGAAAAATCCAGCCTTCAGCCCCAAGAGGCCCCCAAGAGGCCCCCAAGAGGCCCCAAGGGGCCTCCAAGAGGCACCCCAAGGAGCCCCAAGAGGCCCCAAGAGGTCCCAACACGGCCCCCAAGAGGCCTCAAAACAACTGCCTCCCAAAGGCCCCTGAGAGGCCAACCACGAGAGCCCAACCAACATCCGTGAGGCCTCTGACCCGCCACCCACCGCCTCTGAAAAATGGCAGCCGCCCAACCGCACCGCATTGACGACAACACCCGACAAGCGACGGGGGCGAGGCAATATGGGCCGGCGGAACGAGCGAAGCCATTAGTCAGGAAAAACATAAAGAAAGAGAGAGAGAGAGAGAAGAGAGAGCGTGAGAGGGAAAGAGAGAGAGAGAGAGGAGGGAGAGAGGGTTGTTGAAAAGGATCGCGCGCACGCATCCCCCGCCAGCTGGGTTGTTCGGGGTGGGACGCGTTGGTGCACGCTCGCGATGCTCGTGTCCCAGCCCCCCACACCCTGCCTCGGCTGCCCCAGGGAGTGAGCTCCCTACTCGCCTCCACCCCCACGCCACCTCCTTCAAAAGGGGAGGATGACATGCGTCGCACTTCCCCGCGGATTTACCGCTGCGCGACTATAGGCGAACGACGACGGCGGCGAACGACCAACGACAAACGACTACAAACAAGCGACGGACTAGGAACGACGAACGACGACGACGACGACGAACGACGACGACCGACGGACGACGACGACGACGACGACGACGACGACGACGACGGGCACGAGCGACGTGCGACGAATGGTGACTAGGACGACGAATGTCGACGAACGACGAGCGACGAACAATCACGGACGACGAGTGGCGTACGTCGCACGGCGCCGCACCTGCGGGCGCAGCGCAATGCGACCGCCGCGCGGGCGGCGGGTGTTGAAAGGCTCCCTTGGGAACCCTCGGGCAGCGTCAGGCCCCCGTCCGTTTTCTTTTTATCCTCCTCCCTCATTCTCAATTCTCGACGCATCCCCTATTCAGCCGTACGAGGGGAGGAGGAGGAGGAGGAGGAGGAGGAGGAGGAGCAGGACGAGGAGGAGGAGGAGGATTCCTCGGGCGCGGACTCGTGCGTCGCATCGGCGGCGGTCTGGGCGCACGATCTTCGCGCGGCGGTCGGCGCGCAGCGCCAGGCAGCCTCCTCGCGCGACGGCGTAGCGCTCGCGCGCGCGGGGAAGGACCCGCGCGTAGCATCGCCGAAGGTCTCGGAGCGCAAATTCTGGCGCTAGGGTCGGCGCCGCCAGCGGTCTCGGCACGCGATTGTCGCGTGGGCGTCAGCGCTCGCGCCGCATCGGCGATGGCCTCGGAACGCAAGCTCACGCGCGGGGGCCAGCGCGCGGCGCCATGCAGCTTCCTCGCGCGAGTTGGCAGCGCTCGAGCGCGCGGGGAAGGCTCGCGCGCCCCATCGGCGGAATGATACTCCATAGTCTCGATCCGCGACAGTGATGGCGCCTCGCTGCGCGACTGGACAGGGGCGCGCGCGCGCGGATGTCTCTGCGGATGCGCCGCAAACGCGCCGCATACCCGGGCGCATCGCTGCGCGACCACCGCGTGGGGGGTGGGGGATGAGAAAAAATGAGCTGCTTTCTCGCGGTCCGTCAGGGCGCGTCGTGGGGCTTCCTGGGAGCTTTCTGTGGCTTCCTGGGGACTCCTGTGGCTCCCCTAGGGCTTTCTGGGGCCTCCTCAGACCTCCTGAGGCTTCCTGGGGCCTCGTAAGGCTTCCTGGGTCCTCCTGGAGCTTCCTGGAGCGCCTGGAAGCGCGTGGGAGCGTCTGGGACGTTTGGGGAGCGGCTGGGGGCGCCTGGGGGCGCTTGGGCGCTCCTGGAGCGCCTGGGAACGCTTGGGTGCATCTGGGAGCGTCTGGGAGCGCTTGGAAGCGTTTCTGAAGCGTCTGGGAGCGCCTCGGAGCGCTTGTAGAGCGTCCGGGAGCATCTGGGGGCGCCTGGGGCCGCCTGGTGAGCACCTGGGGCTGCATAGTAACGCTTGAGCGTTCCTGGAGCGTCTGGGAGCGCATGGAAATCAAGGGGCTCCTGGGAGTTCCTGCAAGCGCCTTGGGCCGCCTGAGGAGCGCTTGGGCGCTCCTGGAGCGTCAGGAAGGACGTGGGCACATCTCAGGCGCCTGGGAGCGCCTGGAGGCGCCAGGGGCCGCCGAGGAGCGCCTGGCGCTGCCTGGGAGCGTTTGGGCGTTCCTTGGCCGTTTAAGAGCACCTGGAAGCGTCTGGGGGCGTCTGGGACCCTGGGAGCGCCTCGGAACGCTTGGGGCCGGCTGCGGAGCGCTTGGGGCCGATTGGGAACACTTCTGCGCTCCTGGAGCGTCTGGGAGCGTCGGGGGCGCGGATCCTGTGGCTTTTATCATGGATCGCAGCCTCAGGGGCGCCGATCGTATGTTTGGTTTTGGTGGGGGGCCAGGCGCCGCTCGCCCTCTGGAGCCACCAAATATTGATTTTTAGCTTGTGGTGCAGGCGGGCCTCACCAAAGACCCCGCACGACCCCGTTTCGATCCAGAGAAGGAATTATTAAAAGTGAGACGCACAAGGTAGGGAAGGCATGGCCAGCCTTCCGCACCGCTCGGAAGCGGGTGAGCTAACTCTCGCCCACCGACGTAATGCATTTGGCACTCCGCTGGACGCTCCGACCACTACTGGCTCGCTGCCTGGCGATCTTCAGGACCGGCGCTTGCTCAGGAGAGGAGGAGAGGGAGAGCGGGAGGGGCGCGGAGGGCGGAGGAGAGGGGGCAGCAGCAGGAGGAGGAGGAGGAGGAGGAGAGGGAGGAGGGAGGAGGGAGGAGGGAGGAGGAGGAGGAGGAGGAGGAGGAGGAACGCGGAGGGGGGAGAGCGGGAGGGGCGCGGAGGGTGGAGGAGAGGGGGAGGGAGGGGAGCGGGCAAAGAGACGGGAGTCGGCAGAGAGCCTGGGGAAGTGATAAGAGGAGAGGCGGGCCTTCTCGGAAGGCTCGGAAGTCCTCCCGCCTTCTGAAAAGTTGTCTGAGCCTTCCCTGAAGGCACCGGAAACCTCTCCGAGGCCAGAGGGCTTCCGAGAAGCCCCGCCGCCTTCCGAAACGGCCTCCTCCTTCTCACTTCCTTCCCCACCCCCTGCTCGCCGCCGACATGGACAAGCGGCATGGGGTGAGGGGGCAGGAGGCAAGTGACGCTGACGGCGGGAGCGGCTCTTCGGGACAGGACGTGGAAGGCGTATGCTGAGCTGGGGGGGGGGCAGGCAGGGTAAGGACCGACGTGCGCCTGTGCACTCGACCTCTGGTGAATGAGGCCAGTGAGGCGGGGAGTTGCGTGGAGAAGGATGGGGGGGGGCGGGGGTGAGGGAGGGAGGGAGGGAGGGAGGTGCAGTCGAAACGCCGTCATGAAGAACCTTCATTCAGGAACGACGCCCCTTTTTAACCATAAGTTAAACCTTCACTTCCCCTCTAAAACCGAAGGACAACCTACGGAAAACTATACAACCATTACAGAACACTGAGCCTGTCCTCAACGAAATGGGTTCCTTATCCAGCGACCCGACGGTAGGAAAAAACGGAAGGATGGAGGGCCAGTCCCTCAGCTCCTTCTCCCCCATAACTTCGCAAGCATGCCCCTGCCTGCATCCGCACCCTCGCCCTCCCTCCCACCCCCTCCCTCCCTTCCTGCCATCGCTGCCTCCTCACACCCTCCATCACTTCTTTCATACTCTCACCCTCCTTCCTCCCTCATCTTTCCTCAATTCTCCCTCTTTCCTCCTCGATCCTTCCTTTTTCACCACTCCGCCACCTCCGTCCATCCACACTCCTTCCACCCTCCCTCACCTCCTACCTCAGACGGCGCCTAAAGTCGCCCTGGTACAGGCTGACGGTGATGGAGAAGAGCGTCACAATCGCGTTGGGCATATCGCCATAGTCACCACCCTCGGTGGGGCAATTACGGCACATGATGCTGATGGCGCTACCGAACATTAGAAGCAAGAAGCCGACCGCAATCAGGAACTGCCTCACCTCGCCAACCACGTGGCCAAGCACAAGCAGGAACGCGGAGATCTGTGTGTTGAAGACGGCCAGATCTATCAGGATGAACCAGTGTACGGCCATCGCGATCATGGCCATGATGGAATAGCGGTAGCTGATGCCCCTAATGTCATCGCACACCGTCGTAGGCCAGTCATCGGCCTTCGAGCACCAGATGAGGGGCTCGTGCGTGAGCATGAGCGCCAAGGTCACCATCAGCACGAAACTGATGATGTTGTACATGTTCTTCTCCTTGTTGGCGATGGACTTCCGCGCGGATTCTTGTGCGCCTGCCCCGTCGTCGTCCCTGAGGACGCGAAGGGACTTCCGTATCTCCGCCCCGACAGTGTCCTTGAACCTTGAGAGGCAACGATAGGGGGGGATAGGCATAGGGGGGGATGCGTTGACCTGGAATCGGCGATACATCGCCAGTAGATCGGCGATAGGCCCCCAAGGGCGAATCCGCACCTTCATGAGCAGGGCATGGGTATCGGGCCCCTGTCGACGATGCATGGACGATTGGGGGTCGATGCGTCCCCCCCTACGCCGATCCCCCCCTATCATTGACCCGGAAACCTGCTGAGCGCCTCGATCATCTCCTCCCGGTCGACGGAGCCGTTGCCGTCCGTGTCTATCTCCTGGATGATCCTCCTCATCGTGTCGCGGCACCAGGTCCAGATGCGGCCCAGGTGATAAGCGATCAGCCTTCCCATGCCAACGACATACGTATATAGTCTGCCCGCGGCTATGGCATAGCGCGTGAAGACCGACTGCTCGAAGTGGCGCTCCAGTATCTCCTGGCTGAGGAGAAACACGAGCAGGCCAACCATGTTCCACAGTCTCGACCTTGGAATCGGAGGAGATCTGGTTGAGACATCGGCGGTCCTCGTTCCCCTCGTCCTCCTCCTCCTCCTCCTCCTCCTCCTTCATCATCCTCTCTGACCTCAACTCACTTAGGTCCAACTCACTCTCATTCAGACAGATTGCTCTCATTCCAACCCGCTCGCACTAAGACTCAGTCATATTCAGACTCACTCACACTCAGAAACATCAACAGACACACCCACTCTACAATTCACTCAAATTCAGACTCACTTACAGTTAGACGCACTTCAGACACAGCAGGCATAGCATTGGGGAGGGGGAGCCGGGTATGTAATTTCCCGTACGCGCTAAGATCGTGGGGATGCCTCGAGCGTCGTCGTCGTTTCCGTCGTCGTCGTAGTTTACGTCGTCGTCTTTGTTTCCGTCGTCGTCGTCATTTCTATCATCGTCGTCGTCGTTTCCGTCGTCGACGAGGTTGTCGTCGTCGTTTCCGTCGTCGTTGTCGTCGTCGTTTCCGTCGCCGTCGTTGTCGTCGTCGTCGTCGTCGTCGTTTTCGTCGTCGGCGTCTTCGTCGTTTTCGTCGGTTCCATCGTCGTCGTCATCGTCGTCGTTTCCGTCGTCGTCGTTTCCGTCGTCGTCGTCGTCGTCGTCGTCGTCGTCGTCGTCGTCGTTTCTGTCATCGTCGTCGTCAACTCCGTCGTCGTCGACGTTGTCGTCGTCGTCGTCGTCGTCGTCGTCGTCGTCGTCGGTTCCGCCGTCGTCGTCGTCGTTTCCGTCGTCGTCGAGGTTGTCGTCGTCGTTTCCGTGGTCGTCGTCGTCGTCGTCGTTTCTGTCGCCATCGTCGTCGTTCCCGTCGTCGTCGTCGTCGTCGTCGTTGTTTCTGTCGTCGTCGTCGTTGGTTCTGTCGTCGTCGTCGTCGCCGTTTCCGTCGTCGTCATCGTCGTTCCCATCGCCGTCGTCGTCGTCGTCGTCGTCGTCGTCGTCGTCGTCGTCGTTTCCGCCGTCGTCGTCGTCGTCGTCGTCTCCGTCGTCGTCGTGGTCGTCGTCGTTTTCGTCGTCGCCGTCGTCGTGTCCGTCGTCGTCGTCGTCGTCGTCGTTTCCGTCGTCGTCGTCGTCGTCGTCGTCGTCGTCGTCGACGTTGTCGTCGTCGTCGTCGTCTTCGTCGTTTGCGTCGTCGTCGTCGTCGTCGTCGTCGGTTCGGTCGTCGTTTCCATCGTCGTCGTCGTCGTCGTCGTTTCTGTCGTCGTTGTCGTTTCCGTCAACGTCGTCGTCGTCGTCGTCGTCGTCGTCGTTGTTTCCGTCGTCGTCGTCCCGTCGTCGTCGTCGTTTCCGTCGCCGTCGTCGTCGTCGTCGTCGTTTCCGTCGTCGTCGTCGTCGTCGTCGTCGTCGTCGTCGTCGTCGTTTCCGTCGTCGTCGTCTTCGTCGTCGTTTCCGTCGTCGTCGTCGTTTCCGTCGTCGTCGTCGTCGTCGTCGCCGTCGTCGTTTCCGTCGTCGTCGTCGTCGTCGTCGTCGTCGTCGTCGTCGTCGTCGTGCGTCGGCGTCGGCGGCGTCGTGCGTCGTCGTCGTCATCGTCGTCGTCGTCGGCGCCGTCGTCGTCGTCGTCGTCGTCGTCGTGTGTCGGCGTCGGCGGCGCCGGCGTCGGCGACGTCGGCGTCGTCGGCGTCGTGCGTCGGCGTCAGCGTCTGCGGCGTTTGCGTCGACGTCGGCGTAGGCGTCGTCGGCGTCGTCGCCCCCTCCCCATCCCATCTGGGGGGGCGGGGGAGGCCTGTGGAGCTCTGGGGCCAATGTCGCGTGGGGGTGAGGGGGGGCCTGTGAACCCCTGCCCCTGGATCGCCCCTGCTGAGAGTTAAAACAGTTTTAGGTTGAGAAAGGACTTCGCTCGAAGCGTTTTTTGGGGAACCAGTCCATGTCCAGATGCACGAATTTCCTACGAAGAGGAGAAGCTCTAAGAAAACGCCGAGGGTCCAGTCCAAAATTTGTGACCGTCTTAAAACGAAATCTGGAGCCCACAGAAGTTGCAGTTGTTCTTCACATTTCGGATGGGTGTAATTACGCTACTTCTCTTCTGGTTGCGCAAGGTATATCCCCAACTGAGGGGAGGGGATGGTGGGGCGGACATGCCACGGCGCGGCGGGGATCGGGATCTGCGCCTCGATGTTCCCCCACCCCCCACAGAGATCTTCGGCTCTGGACAAAAATTGCAGCAGCCGGTTCGGGGCTATTTTCGGCTTCCAGGGGCCAGACAGCGGGCTCATGATGAAAATCCTGCCCGTAGGGAAGGGGCAAAAACCTCCGGGGGACACCTCATCGAAAACGTTGCCGACGCCGCGAAAACATGGAAACCTCGTGCAAATTCGCGACCGGGGCCCCAGGCCGCACTATTTTCTGCGTCACGTTTCGAAGCGGATCGCTCTGGGAGGGCCCGGGGCCCGAAGGCCCGAAGCCGAAGGTGGGCGGAAGCGCCTGGCACGAAAATCAGAATCGCATCTCTAGCAGAATCCGGCAGGGGCGGCCGGCGCACTACAAGGGGGAACCATTTTCCACTGGCGGACACCCAGGATGAGCCCAATGGGACCCCCGCCCCTCTGGGGCGGGGCTGCAGGGCGGGCGGGCGGGGATAGAGGCCGCGCAGCGCGGGAGAGAGAAAGCGGAGAGCGCGCGGCAAAAAAAACTGATTCAGCTGTCGCAAGGGGAGCCCCAATAACAAAGACAAAACTGGCAGTGACACCCGGCGCACTGCAGGAGAGCGGGAAAAAAGGAACCCTGTTCACTGGCGGACATCCGGGATGAGTCCCATGGGGGCACCGCTCACCCACGCCAGGTCAACGCGCCCCCAGTCCGTTCCCCTCGTCGCTACACCTATAGCAGGCCGCAGGCGAGCGCCCCCTCCACCGACCCCGCAAAGCCCGTCCACCACCCAGCAGTGGGGCGGCGGGCACCTGGGTCACTGCCCCGACCAATCCACCCGCGGGTTCAAACCCTTGGCCGCTGCCCCCGCTCACAGCGAGCCAGTGGGTTGCGGGCGCCCCCTCCCCCCGGGCCCCCGGGGCCCCGTGGGCCCCTGGGCCGCGGGCCCGGGAACTGCCCCCAGTGGGCCGGCGCATCCCAGCATTGAAAACAGAAAAGGGAGGGCCGGGGGGGGGGGCCGGTCATGCGCTCCTCTGGCGGGTTCGCGGTGAACCTCACTTTCGTCCTCTTATCCAGGTTCGCCTTTCTCCCTCCTGGGCCCCGCGCAGCGCCTCCCAGTCGGCCGGCGCCCTTGAGCCGCCATCGCCTCCGCCAAACCCTTCCTGGGCCTCGTGCGCCTCCCGCAGGTGGGCGCGGTAGGCGTTGGATTTCCACCTCCCAAAGCGCTTCGGCCTCTCTAGGTCGGGCGCCGCGTGGCGCGCGGCTGTCGCCGCTCCACTGCGCAGAGAGTGACTCCCGATACGGGCCGGGTCGACTCCCACTGCCTGCGCCTCCTCACCGAGGAGGTTCGCGATGGCCTTTCCCCCGATGGGCCGACCCCCCCCCGCCCCTGAGCAGGGGGAGGCCCTCCTCTGAGGCCCACCTCTGCGGTGCGAGCTTCTCGGGCTCCGCCGGCGCCCTCGCCGGGCAGAGATCCTTCTCGGCGCGGTCATGGTTCCCGCGGCATTCGAAATAAAATTGGTCGGTCTTGCCCCCCTTGATGTAGATGACGACCTCGTCTGCGGCTCCGAGCGAGTGGCGAGCGCCCCCTTCCTGGCGGGGGTTCGCGCGCACCCCTCCTCCCCAGCAAGACCCGGCCCTTCGCCCGGGGCGCACCGGGGCCCGCTAAGCACACCGACGTTCTCACCATGAAGGAGGAAGCGACCGCTAGAGGGGGGCGTCCCCGACTTCCCAGGGGTTGGGCCTCGTGCGGAGCCGGCCCGACATCTCGATCGTGACGGGGCACTTCCAGTTCTGCCTGGCCCCTGTCCGACGGAGGCCGCCGAGGGCCAGCCACGCCCGCGGAACCAGTTCTATTATAGGAGGTCGGGGCGCCCCGGCGACGACTGGAAGCGGCGCGCGGCGAGCAGCTCCCCTCGGGCAGGGCCCTCCGACCTAGGACAGCGCGCCGGGCCCGCAGCGGGAGCTCCCACTGCGGGCCCGGAGCGCTGTCCAATCTAAGAGCACCTCCTCGCCCCCCCTTCGCCCCCCCCCCCCCGAGCCCTACCAGGGCGGGCCTTCGGTTCCGAGCCCTCGTGAAATAGAGCCACTATTGCGTCTGCTCGGCGAGGTGCCCACTACCGATCTGGGCCCGCAGGTGGGGTTGCTCCCTGGGCCACCCCTTGGGGAAGGTTATTGTTGCCTCCCCCCTCGGCCCTGTCCCTGAGATCCTCCTCCTCGGCTATCGCGAGATGGCGGGCCCTCGCCCGGCGGCGCCGACCGATGGCCCCCTCTGCTGGGCCCCCGCCCCCGCCTCCCCAGTGGTTACGGGGCCCGTCTGAGTGCCCCGCCCGACTCGCGCTCTCCTGCCGTGGATGAGGCCTTTCTCAACGGGGCTCTCCCAGAACTCCCAGCCCCGGGCCCGCTCGGAGCCCCCCGGCCTTCCTGTGCCTGAAGTCCCAGCGCGCCCACCTGGACCGCCCGCGCGCCTGCTCCGGGCCGCGCGCAGCCAGCGCTCATATACTCCTCTCGGGGATTGTCCGGGCGCCTATTCCACGCTGCAAACCATTGTTCGTTGGCCTGATTCATGAAGTCCTCGTTCGGCCCCCAGCAGACCCCCGAGCGTTCCCCGGCCGTAGAGGGGGGGTCCTCTGGGCCTTGCTCCAATTTCCCTGCGGTGGGGCCGCGCCGCCTTGCGCCTCTTCCCCCTCCTCGTCGAGGGCCCCCCCCCTATCGCCGTCGACGCAGCCCTGGGGATCTGATGGGCCGCCCCCGGCGGGGG